AGTCTTAGGAGCGGAGACATTTCATCAAGTACTTTAACAACATTTAAATAGTCTTAAAACTTAAACGCTAACATCCCTTTGTAAGACAAGACTTGTGAAACACTTAGCTCTAAATCGCATGAAAAATATGATAAAGTCCTTGTCTTGCATGTTCTTGGAGAAAATTATTTTAAGTAGGCTTTTGAGGAGTAAGTTCTTGATGTAGAGTGTTTCATAATTTTTATTAATAAGACCAAATGTGTTTAAGATATTTTAAGTAGCTCAAATAGGTGATGGAAACTGGAAAGCCATAAAACTGCATCTTAAGAATGTGTAACTAATTTTTACCGGTACTGATTCAAGTTATTAATATATTTCAAAATTCAGATCTTTCATCTGTTTGAACTTTCAACTTTAAGTATTCACCCAGTATAACCAAGTTTAAGTGTATATTCTTGAGCTAATTAAAGAGGCTGAAAGACTAGTTTTGATATTTCTGTGTTTGTTCGAGGTATCAATAATTGATTCACTATGTAAATTGTCAAGATTCATTTGTTATTACACTTTCTAGCTACTGTGACAATACCAGTTTCTGTCCTCTTACTTAGGATGGAAGGTCAACAAGATGGTTACACAAACCATATTTGAGAATTAAATTTCTGCTCCTTCAGTACAGGATCACTGTCTAGTAAAATATTAGTAGTCTGAGGAGCTATTTCTGTCAATGACATACTAATTACAGCACCCCAATTTTAAGAATAATAGGTCTTTGAATGACAAAATGGAAAAGTTATCTGATGACCCACAAAATGCCATTAATTAATTTGATAAAGCTTTGCATAATTTAATTTCCTAATGAGCTTCTTAATGAAGGCAGTATTTTACATTTAAATGGGATGTGTACTTTGTAATAACAATAATTTTCATAGTCAAAATGCTCAGTGGTGACATGATACTGAAAAAAAAAAAAAAAAGTGCTAGTTCCTGGGGCATTTTTGTACCAGTTACTGTATTTTTATAGAAATGGTAAATAATGGGAGGAAGCATTCATTATGAGTATTAGGGTCTTGCACTGTCATGTCAGCGTTAATTGTAATACCAAAGTTACAATTAGCTTTTAACATTTCATATATACATTGGAGTGTCACCTTGCATCAGCCACAGTAATTAAGAGCAGTGCAGATTACTTCCATAGTCTTGCATTCTTGTAGACAATTAATATAGCAGCCGACGATGGTTCCACTGTTTGGATCACAGGATAGCAAGTTGTGGTGGTTTTTATGGAGTGTTGCTGTCCTTTCAGGTTTTTGGTGCCATGAAAGAAAGAGGCTATAAGAAAGAGATGTGAAAGCCCAGCTTGCACACGGGGCATCCTGCATTCACAAGGAATGGTTTCTCATGGTTTAGTCCACTCACTGTTGCTGATGACTGTGCTTTTCTAAGTGCAGTTTCAGGAGATTAAGAAGATTCACGTAGGAATAAAATATATGGTCAACTACAGCACTGGCCAAATTTAAATAACAATGTTATGTGTGCTTTTTTTTTTTTCCCCACAATGTATTTGAATTAGAATAAGTGTACATGCATTTTTAACTGTCAGATAATGATGGCTTTATGAGCGAGCATGTGTGTGCACAGAATGCTAGATGAAGGTTTCTTAACACTGCCCTTTTCTCCATCCTTTAGCTCTACCTTTCAAATAAAAGACAAATTTTGAAAACATAAAAATGAAGGGAATAAAATGACACAGTTCTGAAAACGGTATATATTACTAAATATATCGTGTAGCAATATAAACAAATACATTAAAAATCACACGTATCCCCTAGGTAAAGGCTTGTTCCTCTTAGTATTTTTTATGAGCCTAGACAAGGTCAAGAACTAGGTAGGGATCAAGACTGAGCTTTTGAATTGCAGCATGATGTTTTTCAGTGTTCATGGCTGCAGAGGGCTGTGCCATCATGGCAAATTCTGAGTGCTATTTTCTGGTGATGTTTCTCATTGCAGATTTTTATTTCCATGGTTGCTGGGTCAGGTATTCCTACCTTCATTTATACACCAAGAACCCTGTGAGCCGTCTAGTGGGAGGTTTCTTCTTAACTCTTGACCATTTTGGAAGTCAGTTCCTTGAGCCTTTTCCAGTTCAGCCGTCCAGACCAGCCCCTCAGCCTGTCATGGGACTTCCCTCATCCTTCCCACTTCCCTGTTGCGTTCAGTGAAGTGACAGGGGGAAGTGGGGAGCGACAGTGTTTTGGAGGCTGAATGACAAAATCAGACAGACTTTGCTAGGCCTCTGTTAGTTGATATATATCAAAATGTGTAAAAGGTTATTTTAATAAACCAGGAAACAATGGAGTAAGGAAAGACAGTTAAGTCAATTTATGAACCTTTTCTTGAGAGTTACCTAACTGGAATAAAAAATGCTTATTTAGTATTTGAATATTTGTACAAGAAGAAAATGATATTTTAAGTGTGAGCATAACCTCTTCTCTTCTACAACATGGGATCCAAATGTCTTCTAATGAAAGTTGTAGTGACAGGCACCCGTGTGTATGTTGTCTGCTTTGGGTTGAACTGAACTATGTAAAACAGCTCTAAACCAACTTTTAAGTTCCCCCCTTTATAAAGCAAACCTATGGCAATTCATGAAGTATGTCTGTAATCATTTTTATAACTGTTGGAAGCTTCATGTCCCTTCCTTAATTTGTAGTGGTAAATCCCATGCATCAAGTTGCGTGCATGCTGCCAAATGAATGTTGATGTATGGTAGGAATGGGATAGAGCGTCTGGGTTTAATTCGAAAGTTGAGTTTAGAGAACGAGAATTCAGGGAAGATTGGAGTCCTTCATATGAGGCTGGGACTTTTGAGTGGGGTAGGAAGGAGGAAATTGAGCACCGCGCAGAGCTAAACTCTGGTAGCTCTGCTTCCAGGGAAGTGAGCAACAGCAGCAGGACTCAGGGAACAGATGATGGAAAGCTATGCACTTAGGATGTAGGCTTCCCTTATATGCTGTTGTGAAGCTGATGGAGTCTCTCAGACATTAAATGGCCTGACTGACTTAGATCTGCAGGTGGGAGTCTCTTTCAGGCATGGAATGCTGTTTGCTATCTGTTAGAGGCACCTACCTGTGTCTGTCTGTCTATCAGGTAAAGTATAGGCAGAGAAAAGTGCAGTATTGGATTTTTACTGATAGCTTCCAGTACACAGCGATAGTTAACTGTGTGAACTGGCTTTTCAAAGATGGTGCAATATACCATATTTTAGGATTCTCCTAGTTTTTAGGATCATGGTTTTTAGGATCTTCTTGAATGGAACAAGAATAGTGCATACGCGATATGGCAGATGTTCCAAGAATCTAAGAAACCCACTGTGCCTTCAGCACACAGTTATTATTCTTAGTCATTCTGGTCATGTGAGTATATCCAACTCTCTTGATATTAATGAGTATACTGAGTATGTGTCAGAACATGCAACAACTGATCTGCAAGGGAACTTTAAAAAAGCCGGCTTTGCCAGTGCATGTGTAGATTCTGGTAATAGTTGGAATATTTAGATGTTTGAAAACTTCCAGTGGTTCTTAGTACTGACAGAACTTTTAACACTAGTAGACATACAGAGACCATGGAGAAATCTGAGCCTCAAAATCTTTCTAGACTACATTTCTGGACAGGAAAATAGAGTAAGTTTGGGAAAATGATAATGCTGTGCTACAAGAACAGTGAAGCCTTGGGAGATAGTGAGGGCATTGCTGATGCTTTTGTACTTGATTCATTCATTTTTTAAATTGTATGATTATAGTTGCTATTTATAGAAGAATTGTAGTTCCGAGGTGTATGTTACAAGATGTCTCTAGTAGAAGAGTAAGTACAGATTTGTCATACTTGCACATATGATAGTATTATCTTGCAGACAACTAAGAT